CAAGTGTCGATGATCAGATCACCAGTTTGTCAAAACATGCTGCTAAGATCAGATTGGATGGCAGTTTCGATGGAGGTCATAAAACACATGGAAAAGATAAATCAGATCGTGCGACGAGTGAACAAGTTTTGGATCCTCGCACACGTATGATTTTACTTCAAATGATCAATAGAGGTGTTGTTTCCGAAGTCAATGGATGTTTAAGTACGGGCAAGGAAGCCAACGTATATGGGGCCTTGTCAATTCCTTCGACGGACGCAGATTCACAACCAATACACCGGGCTATTAAGGTCTACAAGACTAGTATCTTGGTCTTCAAGGATCGTGATCGTTATGTTACTGGTGAACATAGATTCAGATCAGGATACAATAAAGGAAATAACAGAGCTATGGTCAAAGTCTGGGCTGAGAAAGAGTTCCGAAATTTAAAACGTCTACATCTGGCTGGAATTCCTTGTCCAGAACCTGTTCATCTACGTCTACACGTCCTTATCATGGGGTTCCTAGGTGATAAGAAGGGATGGGCCGCACCAAGACTTCGAGATGTAGAGCTCTCTGGCGATGACGTCGATGAACAGTATCGATTGCTCTACCTACAACTCATTGGACTCATGCGAAGAATGTACCAAACATGTAAACTTGTTCACGCTGATTTGAGTGAGTATAACGTATTATACCACCAGAAAAAACTTTTCATCATCGATGTTTCTCAAAGTGTTGAGCACGACCATCCTCGTTCATTAGAATTCCTACGAATGGATATCAAGAACGTATCCGATTTCTTCAAGCGCAAGAATGTCGAAGTCCTATCTGAACAAACCATTTACCAATTTATCACTTTCCATGATGGACCAACCCAGGAGCCAGGACTCAGTGAAGCGCTTGAAAAATTACTCCTTGAAAGACCTGAAGAGGATGAAACTGAAGAAGCTGTTGCCAAACGACAAGTAGAAAACGAAGTTTACCGTCAACAATACATACCACAAACTCTAGAACAAGTTTATGACTTTGAGCGCGATGCTGAGAAAGTTGGAAAGGGTGAACGTGGCGACCTTGTGTATCGAAACTTGTTGGCTGCGGATAAAATGCCTATGTCTTCGGGCAACGAGGCGGATGCCGAGGATACGATGGGCGATGGTACTAGTCAGGCTACTGATGATGATGAAGATGAGGAGGGTGACGAAGATGGAGAGGATGGAGATGATGACGATGACGAGAAGAGATTTGAGAAGGGCACACCGAGGGGAAAGAGATTCGAAGATAAGGATGCTAAGAAGGTATGTTCGTTCACGATATTTGTTTCGCTATTTGCCTGTCAACCCCTGACACCCCTATCACGGAATGATGACCCAATTTCCATCCACAAAACATGACTTCCCTTTTGGGACCAGATTACAAATCACGAGAACTTTATGTCTGACCATCACTCAACTATCTCCATTAATTTGCTTACTATCATATTCATCCAAAGCTAACGCTAATTTTTCAACAATAGGAACACAAGAAAGCAGTCAAAGAAGAAAAGCGTGAAAAGAGAAAAGATAAAATTCCCAAACATCTCAAGAAGAAACTTGTGAGTTCGACGGCAAAACATAAGCACTAGTTTTAAAGTCGAAAAATCAAATCAAGCAAATAAATTTTGAATCAAAATAATCGATCGCCGGCTCCTTGACATAATAGTGACCGGTAAGTAATCATTATCTTTCTCTATCTACCTTCCACAGATGCAGAGAAATCTCCAAAACAAACACCCGGATGAAGAAACAAACATCGCTTCTCCCAACCCAACACATCGGAGTAGTGTCTTACCAAGGGGATTCCTTCGGCAAAACCTCTTTGGTGTATGGGTCCCACTACCGGAGAAGCTGAGATACTTCTACTTTCAACGAGAGTAGAAGATATGCTGATCAAAGAGAGCACCGACGGGTGTTCTGTCTACGGAGTTTGTTTTTCTCAATATTTGATTTGTGGGGGAGAGATGTCCAAGAGCAACAATATGAAAGTGGCAATTAGTGAGCTTAGGGAGGAGAACTTGCTTGTATGATGACACAAGAATGTAGCGAAGTCAAGTAGAGAACAGAATATACTATCTGTGTATATGCATATGTATTCATTCGCTATACCATAATGTTTGCTATCTAAAACTGTGATTCTAAACTTACAATTCCTGGAAAGGCCGTGGCCATAGAATGTGAACTCCCTCCCTGTAAAAACCGCAAAACCATGGTTCATTATGAAATCATTCATCCCCATTATATCCACAATCCTGACCATCCGTGCATCCAACCATCGCATACATAACATCGTATCGTATTTCGTCCCAATATTTGCTTTCCATTTGCGTCCATCCATCCCAGACCAATTCATAAAAGCATCGCATCCGGATCATTTCTCACTCGTCAAATCGTTTACTCCCTTCTGTATCCCCCATTTCTCTTCTTTCTTCTATCTTCGGTATAATCCGTTTCATTTCCACCTCTCTCACTACTTAAACCCGGAATAAAGCAAGGATAACTCTTGTGTCCGGTATCCCCACTAACCTCACTATCCTCCCTCACACTACTCAACTCGCTTCCCCCGACACTCGACTCAGCAGCGGAATAAGCAGGTGGAGCCAAATGTGATCGATCTCTGCTTTGTTTTCTAGCTTCACGTCTAGCACGTCTCGCCTCTCGTTCACGACGCTCTTGGTCTTTTATTGCGGCTGCGTCACGAGATGAGATGAGGGAAGATGCGGCTGCGGAACTGTTATCGTCACCAACGCGGAAACTGAAATCTCTACGTTGAGCTGCGCGTCCCTTTTCCTGAAGTTTCTTGGCTTCTGCTTTAATTCTCTCATCATCCGTTACACTTGAATCGGCCTCGCTCTGTCTTGAACTCTTCTTGGTTGTGTTCTGTCTGGTCCAGAATGTTGAGCTTCCACCATTATCCTTTGTGGAAGTAGCAACGCGTGGGCCTTGAACTGTTCCGATAACCTTTCGAATTTTGTAGTGATCTTTGTTGTTACTCTTCTTTGGCCTCTCGGGGGTACGCTCAGGAGATCTCTCGCGGTTTTGTATAAGTCCATCAGAAACAGTCGAGCCTTCAGGGTTTGTAGATCCTTCCCAAATGCTAGATTCGCTTTCTCTGTTCATGCCGCCAACTCGTGCTGGTTTCTCATGACGGTATGCTCGAAGATCTGCAATATCGTCGCCGTATTCGGATTCAGGTACATCGCCCAAGTCACCACCGCGGAGTCTACTCTTCTTATTCTTCTTTTCCTTTCGTGGGTAATTGACCTCACTCATTTCGCTATAAGTGACCTCGCTTTGTGTGCCTAGTGAACTTTCTTCCTCATCATAGTCCTTGTATCTCGATCTCTCCATACCACTTCCACCCCTCTTACTCTTTTTGTTCTTCCTTCCCCATGTGCTCCTCTTCTTTTCCCCGTGTACAATACTACCGCCTCCAAGATCCGTAGATTCTGAAGCTCCAGAGAGAGTGGTGCCATTGGGACCTTTGCGTCTCAAAACCGTAGACTTATAATCATCCCAATCGTTTTCATGAAAGACAAATCCACCATTCTTAGCGATGAAGAAGAACCAAATACCAGTGATAACAAAGCCAGCGCCAATCAGTCCAAGAAGTATGAAGACGAATTTGTTGGGAACAGTGTCGAAAGGTGTAACACCACTAGAGGGATCAACTGTGGGGACAACATCGCGTGCGGTGAGAGCTTTGGTGATGATTTTTGGTGCGGAAGAAACGATATCGAGAGATGGAGATGAAGGGGCAACGGCGGCACGTTTGAGGAGAGGAGAGACGTAAGATGAGATGACAGGCATAATTGATGTCTCTTCGTAAAATATGTCGTGATAAAGGGTGGTATTCGAAGATGATGAAGTTTTATTTACTTCGACATCCAACTAAGTACAACCTCGTACCATCAGCAGTGGTAAAGGGTTATCGTGAATTGAAATATTCGTCAATTGAGCTTTACAAAGTAAAAGATGACCGGAACAAGTTGATAAGACTCAAAAGACTCTGTCAAAAAGCTATCGTGTTGGATAGCACTGCCAACTCACGTTCCTTGGAATAAATTACGAGGCTGGGGAAAAAGCGGGAGGCTGGTTATTGTCGTTCGTTTACACAGCAACCAGGCACGTGCGTAAATCTATTTTTGGTTCTAGTTCTCGCTTCTAGGCCCTTGTGAGAAAGATCTAGACAAACAATCAATCACATCAAATCCATTTGAGTTGATCTTGCGTGCATATGCACACAATATATGAGAACACTAGAGAAGTCTAATTGTTTAGGGCTGAATGTGGAACAATGAAGTGCTTGATAGTTCTAGTGGATCGTCAACCTCATGCTCGCGTTGGTTTAATCTTTTTCTATCCCAAATCTCCTTAGTATCCTGTCCAAAGTGTCTAGTCTCGACTGGTAAACTTGGGATCTATGGGGAAAGTACCACGCTTTTAGAAATAGGGGCCATAGGGCTTTTATCTCCTCAGTGTAATGTGCTTAGTGTGCCATTTTCAGTAACTTTCTCGCACTAGAGTCAATACGCATGCCTCTCTTTTGCCTCTCTCTTGCCTCTCTCTTGCCTCTCTCTGGAAGTTCATGAAAGAGCACATTAGTATTCGATGATCATATACAAGAAGTGGCCTTGTCGTTCCTAGATCAAACCCTATTTTTTATGACTGAGTGCACGATATTAGGCTCCCGGATGCAGCCACCCGCTTGAAAGGCTCATTCGACAACGAATAATAGCGCACAATGGCTCAACTTGGACATTTGATACCGAAGAAAGCTGCGTTGCAAGTTTTTATGGAGCGGCTTTTCCTGGATTCATGGTGACTTTTCGTCCAATCATATGAAAAATGTAGTGCTCTGAATCAATGAGCCCCAGGTTACACAGGCACTTCAAGGTCTCCAAACAGTTATCTTATCCCTCTCTTTTCATCTTTTGCTTCGTCGCCGTCTCAAATGTAGTGCATGTCAATAGTACCTACTTCACAATGCATGTCATAGCACATTTTTTGCGTCATGAAAAGGTTAGTACTTCTCTGCATCCCAAATTCTATGTTAGGAGTCAGAACAAGAATATGGTCAGATCTAAGAAATCACTATCAGGGTGCACACACAGCTGAAGGATTTTGTACAGATCAGCCCAGTCTCATTCGCGATCCTGATCTAACTGCAGAGGGCCGATCAAATTGCCAGATATTCTCGAACAATTTCTCGGATAGCAGGCATGTCACACACATCTGGTGTTCGCCCATGACCAGAAAGGTCCGTATAGCACTCTTATCCTTCGAAAGTGCCATTGCTAGTATCGTAAAAGTTCAAGCGTTGGATATACTTCAAAATTGGGATTTTTCACCAAACGGTATAAGAATGAACAAAGAGTATCTACAAAGACATTTTGGTGAATAAGTAGACTTCGATAAAGTTGAAGAGGCATGGAATAATAAAGTTTCTGGTAAATGGGCTTCGAAAAATCAAAAGTGGAAGATCCCTGCTTTGAACTCGCGCTCAATGACTTACGATCGACTACCAGCATGGTCGAAGTTGTGATAGTCAGTCATTAGGCTACACAACGGGTACCCACAGGGCAAATAATAACCTTAATAAATAATCCACAAATAATCCGTTTACAAAACAAATAATTCAAAAATCTAAATAAGTAATCCACAAAACAAATACAAATTACTCATAAATATTTATCTACTTATATATTATATAATTATTCATAATCTTTTATAATATTAATATAATTTTATAATTAGTATAAAAATTAATATAAATCTAAGCTTGAATCACTTTTGGACTCTAAAAAAATCTAAGAATAGCTTTATATTTTAAGCGAATCTCTACTTTTTTCGAAGAATCTATATATCCACGAATTATTTACAAATGATCTACAAATTATCTATATATTTACAAAAAATTTACAAATAATTCATCTATTTATATATTTATAGATTATTTACAAATAATTTGTAAATTATTTATACAAAATAAACAATTTTAAAGTTTCAATAAATAATTTATAAAGCAAATAAAACCTTTAACAAATAACCTATAGAGTGGATTATCTGTAAATAATTTATGGATACAGATAATTTGTGTGCAGCCTATCAGTCATGAAAGTGTCCTCAGAGAACTGACCATTAGAATTGGTAAGTTGCATGCTAAATCAGATCAAGTATACAAAAGCTAATGGAACTCAAATTCAGGAGGCTGGCGATCTGGCGAAGTCCGCAGCTATTTAATTGATGATAAAGGGGAACCTTTTCACTATCTGGAAGCGAGTGGCCTCGAAATCTACAGATCACATTTCCCGAATCAACATATGATACCAACACCAGAACGGGTCCACTCCGAGTCGCTGGACCCTCCAATGCTCGCGGAGAGCTCGATAGACAAGCCTTCTGAATCGTCTGAGAAAGCACCTGCACTAGAAGTAAAGGTGGTTATTAAAACCATTGCAAAGGATACCTCGACAATTGCAAAAGAGGGGATACTGAAAGCTTCGAAAAGGTGTGAGATCCACGTGAATGTATTATTCAAGCTTTTTCAGGAAGAACCTCCGCCAACCAAAGTCGAGGGGGTTGACATCAAGGGCGTGGAAGCACGTCCAATACCTGTAAGAAGCAACGACCGGTACGACGCAGGCGAATAGAATACCAATAGCCAGTGGGAGGATGAGCGATCATGATATTTCTAGAAAGACACCTTTGAAAGCAGCATAGGTCAGGTGTATTCTATTAATGAATCATTCGGGGATTTTTTGAAAGTCTTGTGTCTGGAGTTTGGACATGTCAACTTCAGGGACATAGTTGTCGGTATACCTGAGTGATTTGAAGAGACTCAAGACTGATAGGTTATGAGATAATATTTTAGAGAGACTATAGAATTGGACGTTTATAACCTCAAAAAAACAGTCGTTTATGTTCAATTATATTCTAGTTTAGCCCACGCTTTTTTTCCAGAGTCATTCTACTTCGCGAAAAAAACAGTCTTATCATTGTCAATCATACTGGTCCGCAGAGAAAGACAAGGCATAGCAACTTTGTTATCCTGATATTGAAATTCCCACCATCCTACGTCCTGGCACTTCTCTAAGTGTATACTCTCCAAATATTAAAGGATCACAACGAAATCTTGATATCAGGGCCGAAGCTTAATGCCACCATTGCCTCGTGTCAAGCCGCTTTCGCCTCCCTCATTTGATTATCTAAATACCATTACTGCACAAAAATAATTGAATTTTCAATCTCTTCGATGGATGCCCTAAACGTGCCAAGTTAAGCTCCCTAAACGCCCCTAAACCCTCGCTAAAACATTTCTTTGTTAACCTCGTCCATTATTTGACCGTGCTTCTATGTGGATACCGTAGGTTATGTATATTAACACAAATCCCTATGATTATCATCACATCATTGCTCTCTCCGTGATTCCACACGCGATTGGCCCACGAAGAATCAGCCCTATCCTCAACCCTGAGATAGCTCATCCGTAAAACTTACACCCCACTGACAGCTAGAATACTACAACCCACCCCCCCAAGACATCTCAAACCCTTATACCCATTTTATTTTTTCCATCCCCATGACATCCCCCAAACCCTCCAATGAATCCATCCAATCCCCTGAATATACCCCTCTGCTTACACCACCAGCACCCGCTTGCTTGCTTACACTAGCTTACACTTCCCCCACCATCCCGATATTTATCCCCAAGCCCACAATCCCCAAAATCCCAACATCCGAAATCTGTTGCACGTCTGATTTTTCGCCCGATAATTGTCCTCGGTTTAGCTTCGCTAAATCACATCACATCACGTTCATGATGAAATGTGGAAGATTTAGTTGCACGTCTGTGTTTCGTGCCGACGTCGGGACGGTCTTCGGTGATGTTTTCGGGGAAGAGGGGGTGGGGATAGGGATGGGGAATTGAGTTTACGGTTGGATATTCGTATATTGGAGGGTTGATGAGTTTTCTGAGCGGGGTTTTGGGGAGAATTCGGGATGGGTCTTCTTCCATTGTTTTTTGCCTCGTTTAGATTTATTAGGAAATGATGGATAGTATCCGTATTTTATTTCGGTGCTTTATGTTGCATCATACATTGTACTCATGCATTACATATTTTTTCAATACTGCATACTACATACATATCTCTTTGCGGGTTTCAAAATCTCATCGATTGCAAAATCTCTAATAGCCCGTCCATAAAGTTCCAAATTTCTCAAAAACTCAAGAGGTACATGTATGCTACAAACCCAAAACTCATATTCAACATCGTAAAAGCAATGAGTACACATACCGCGCTACATAGCGACTTCATATGCATTCATAACCAAACACCAACCAATCAATCCTTTCCAAATCCGAACTTCAAACCTCCACCAGATCCCACTTCTTGCGCTCTAACATCCATAGCAGAAAGACCTATAACCACCACAACCACTCTCAAAACTCCTCCTCGATTGCTAAACTCTTCAAAAAAGGAAGAAAAAGAAGAGGTAAAAACCATAAATGATTGAAACTCAATCAAGTAGCGAGTGAATCGAGCATTCTTCTCTCATGTTCAAAAAATTCTTTTCCACCTACTCAAACTCCTCGCGGAAATTACATATTCACTCACTCAACTTCCAAATTCCACTCCACTCAATCTCCAATTCTCCCTCCCCCCCAAAAATATCGACACCACAGAGATTCGAACTCTGGCTCCCGAAGGAAACGCCTGTACGATAGCCGTCCAACCAATCTCCTCATCAAATACTTTCCGATATCAAATACCGATACCGCGATGAGGAGACGTATCAGGAAGTCCGAGCTAGTAGCAGGGCGTCGCGTTAACCACTCCGCCATAGTGCCCTTTCTAATATCTTTGATCTGTGAGAGGAGGGGGTTGGGGGTATATGGAATGAGGGGTGAGCTTTTGGGGGGATGGGGGTGAGGGCGAGGGTGAATTATTTGGGTACTGGGGACGGAAGAAGAAGAAGGAGGAGGAATCTGTGTGAAAGGATTGGAAAGTGAACATCAATCCACCTCAAACTTATGTAGGTACCTATCCATGATATCGCACCCTTATAAGGCATCACCACATCACCACATCACCACACCAACCACCACAAACCAAATACCCATCCATACCCATAATAAACATCTATCTATCATCCCCCCAAACCACCAAACCACAACCAAAAAAATAAAAAAATAACTAGAAGAACAAGAAACCTCCCGCTTCACAAGTCCGTGGTCGTAGATCTGACAATTACCCATTCTAAAGCAGTAAGCCCCCAGATGAAAGACATCAAAATCAGATCGTGCTTAAACCCCCCCCCCTCCTTGGAAGACCATCATCCATTCACCTACTAGGTATCTATATAATCGAGGAAAAGCAGCGCGTACATTTTCTTCCCCTCAATGAACTCAATACAAACCAACAAACAAACAAAACAAAGTGCTCTAAACCCCATAGAACGTATATGCCCCCACGAAAACCTAGAGACTTCTCCAGTCAGCGCCGCGACACTCCTCGATTATCATTCAAGAAGCAGCAGCTTACTCAATCTCGCGTCGGGGTATCCACATGACAATACAATCACATCACCAAGTTCTCCTTCACTGTAAGAACTTCACGACTAAGAAATACAAAGGGGTATCATATTTTAAAACTATCCTAAAGCTATCTAAAGCTACCCTAAAGCTTGTAATCCACAATCAATCCAATCCTGAAGGTTCTCGAAAGAATTCTGATAGAAAGACGAGTCCCCACTAACATTAAAGGAGACCCAATCTATCCATCCATTTTCCATCCCCTCCATCCTTTTCATATATCATACCAAACAGACCATGTACCAGCCATGTACGCCAACTCTCAAAAACATCTCTGTCGATGACTCATATCTTACATGCTGCCATTGCTAGCAAAATGTGCATGCATCTGTAGTTCATCCCAATCCCAATACTTTCAATCCAAAATCAAGAAAAAAAGGTAATCGCCCAAGTGAAGATAAGAGACGTGAAAAAAGAGATTCATAACCATAGCTCATACAAGTCGTACATTCATCATATTGAAACATTTCCATTTCCACCATAAGGAAAGAAAAAGAAAAGAGAAAAAGTGCTCAAGTGCTTTTGGGGTATAAACTTTTTCCGCTTTTCTGAAAAAACCAAAGAAGAGGAGAAAGTAACGACCACATAACGATATGCACAGAGAAGAGAGATGTTTAAAAAAGGAAATTCAAAAGGAAATGATATGAAATCGCCATAAAAATTTGTGTCGCTAAATCGAATATTCAAGAAATGAATCGCTCAAAGGAAATAAAATATGATACGTAAAGGATTTAGAGCCAAGTAGAAGTAGTTGAAGTCTCCCAGTTGGCATTGCGAGATTCAAAGTCCTTGGCAATGCGAGATTCATAATCTTTGGTAATGCGAGAGTCAAAGTCCTTGGCAGTGCGAGCTTCATAGTCCTCACGACGTTCGCGAGGTGCTCTGTCCCGCTCTTGAGGTCGAGGTGAGACTCGGGTGTAGGAATGTTGTGATCTCATGCGCGATCGGGTTGATTGACTGTCACTTCGGTCATGTCGGCTTCGGCGTTCACGATCATCAAGTAATTTAGGTCCGTGTCCATGTCCATATTCCGATGCAGTTGCTTGGCTTCCGTCACGAATTATTTTTTCGGTGCGGTGAATTTGGATTTTTCCTCCTTCTTCGCAATGAATTTCAGCTCCGCCAACTGTGACTTTAGCCTGACCAGTTACCTCGATTGTAACATCATCATCACCACCACTTCGGGTCGTACGAGTGGTTTGTGTGCCTCGATAATCACTCAAGTCATGACTTCCACTGCTCTTTGTGCTTCTGCTACTACCTCCAGCCTGTCTTCGTTGTTCTTTTTTCAAAGCCTCGGCAGTGAGAGGTATAGTTGGACCACTGACTTCCTCGAGATAATCGGCTGCCGCAGAAAGCTTTGCGTTATATCCACTTGATCCCGTAGTAGATGCTTGAGTGGAAGAGGTAGATGTAGATTGTCCATAGTAGCTTTGTCGGCGTCTGTTTTTGCTAGCAGTTTCAAGTCTAAATCTCTCTGCTTCCCTGGGTAGTTCGCTCACATCATATGAAACTGAGTTTCGATGAGGACTTGGTCGACGAGGACGAGGTGCATGACGAGGAGGTTCATCATGGTACTCTTCAACACTGTATTGAGAAAGCGTGTCGTCGTATACTGGCACATCGACTGTTGGTCGTCGCATAGTAGGTTTGGGTGGTGGTGGCATAGCCTGAGAATCTCTTCTACCTCTGCTGCTCTTGCTCTTGTGGTAACTGGTTTCCACTTCGCTGTAATTGCTTTCGCGACTGCGCGAACTGTCTGCCTTGCTAAAGTTACTCTCCGATACAGCAGAGCTGTTTGTCCTTGAAGGGATTCCAGATGGTACACGGATACTACTGGTGATGGTTCTCCCGACTGGCTCTTCAATAGAAGATTCGTAACTATCATCGTAATCATCTTCGCTATATTGGTACTCTCGCTCATAGCCTCCTGTGATCATTCGAGGTGTTTGAACTGGCTCAGGTCGAATGCCATATTGAGAGGCCCTTTGTTGAGGTTCAAATCGAGCGGAAAGAGAGCGCGATGAAGGTTGAGCTTCCTCAGATTGAAAGTAGCTA